GAGAGGGATTAAAATCGGATTAAAATTGAAAATATAGCCGTTATTGTCGACTTTTATTAGATGAGTGGGACCCAATAACGGTCATATTTTCAATTTTAATTGGATTTTAATCCCTCCCGAACGGGGCTTAGATCTTTTCGAGTAAATGGCCCATTCTCTAAGCCCTTATGAGCTACCATAGCAAGCCTTTATTTCATAAAGATTGAATAATTTGGTAAAAAATACTAGAGCATTGATCCACTATGAAGAGCTCTTTCGCATTTCATTTGGGTTTTTAATCTTGTTAGTCCATTTATCGAACGTTGTTGGACTTGGAATAAGTTTATGCTGAATACTGATGGCTTGTTTGGGGGTAGAGCGGACTGTATAGGTCTCGACAATATTAAAGAAAAAAATAAGTTCAAATATTGTTATTTCAAGGTTTAATCGTGTCCAATACTACATACGAAACGTATCCTCGTGAATTAAAATGCATTGGAGAATCATTACTGTATCTTCTGTCACATTTCAGTTGTTAGGTGCGCAACAGTAGAGGCATGCTTGCCTTAAAATATTGCCTCGTCAAAGTAGCCGAAAATGTCCCCAAATGATGAATTTATCCCAAGTACAATAGTTGAAACTAGTTCACAGTATTTCAAATGTCATAGAATCCTATGTGCATTTATATTTGACCAATTTCTGTAACTCAAGAAATCCCACTTGTATAGTAGGCATCTCTTGTCAAAATGGGTGTAAAAATTTGTTGCAAGTCGGTTAATGCTAAATGTGTAGCCTAGTCATCTGATCCGAGTTCTTACACCTAGTATAAGAACTACCCCAACTGAGTCATCCACTTGTAGGACTTGAAATATTGCGTATCATGGACCAAAGGTTCCATGCAATACAACAGTATCAAAATAAGCCTGGTTCTCAATAAATTTAGGTCTACAGTGGAACATCCAAAGCAACTAGATCTTTAGCAACCACAATTAGCCAATTAGGGATAACTGCCTAGCCGATTCACTTTGCACACAAAAAGCACAGAATTTTGCAACCCACTTCAATGGCAATTGTGATTTATGTTGGTGATCCGAGTTCTTACACCTAGTATAAGAGCTACCCCAACTGAGTCATCCACTTGTAGGACTTGAAATATTGCGGATCATGGACCAAAGGTTCCATGCAATACAACAGTATCAAAATAAGCCTGGTTCTCAATAAATTTAGGTCTACAGTGGAACATCCAAAGCAACTAGATCTTTAGCAACCACAATTAGCCAATTAGGGATAACTGCCTAGCCGATTCACTTTGCACACAAAAAGCACAGAATTTTGCAACCCACTTCAATGGCAATTGTGATTTATGTTGGTGAAAAATGGAATAGAGAATTGTTTGTATATATGTTCATATAGGTGCACTAGTCAGCTTGGTCTGTTCATATTAGAAGGTTTGTCCATTTAAGGTTAACTGCCTAGCATTTGATTCTCTGTAATTATTAGATCCTGCATCAGTGGGAGAATATGGCTTACAAGTTCCTCTATGAATGCACTAGCCTAGTTATTGTGTATTGACAAACAAGAAGCACGAGCTATGCAAATAAGTGCATGCTTGATATGCAGCATTCAACTTAGCCCCTGTTTGGCCCCCATTATTGTGCATTTTTTATGGTTGAAAATTTTTGGAAAAGTGATTGATGGGAGAATGTGTGGTTGAAAAGTAGTGAAAAGTTTTAGATTCGCGTGTAATATTATTTTATTTGATGAATGTGTGTTTGTAATGAAGGCAGAGAAAAATTTAATGTAATGTAATGAAATTTAATGAGGGTCAAACAGGGGCTTAATTGGACAATGAAGTATACAAGACTATAATTTTTTATTATTTTTATATCTTCTTTGATACTTATCCAGTCTAACTTACCAAACAAGCCATCAATGCATGAACTCACAAGGTTTGTACTCACGGAAGCCTAAATTCCACCAAGGGCGAATGCATCGTCTTGCATACAACTGCCAACATGGGTTCACTTACTAACTTCAACTAGTCATTACAAACCAAAGTAATTAACAACTTAGTTTGATAGATCCGTGCTTTGACTTCCTCTCCAACAAGCTTGGAAAATTATTTAATTAAGGGATAGGGTTCCTAGATCATCTCGGAAATGGTAAAAATAGAAAAACTGTATTCCTAATCTAATTCAAAATCTCAGTCACGGGTTTAGAAATAAGAACCAGATAATAGAAGAAAACCTCAAAAAGATAAGCCTTCATTCTCCTTGTAGAATATTAAGGGTGTGTTTGATCCACATTATTTTGGAAGAATGTATTCTGGAATAACAGATTGATGAAAAATTTGTGGTTGAAAAAGAAGGAAAAGTTATTGATGTGATGGAAAATATTATTTTATTGAAAAATGTGTGGTTGAAAGTGAGTAGAAGAATGAGAATGAAAATTTTAATGTGTACCAAACAGAGGCGTTATATTTGAAATGACAACTATAGCTCAAACATTTAAGTTTTTCGTTGCATATTCCTAGATTATGTCTTATAATTTATTTAATTGCCTGACTTGATTACAGAGTTACAAATATAAATTTTACTGATCAAGCCTATAAAAAACAATGGGATAAAGAATTAAACTAAGTGATAGAAAACGATGAATTCAAAAACTTAATGAAGAATCAGATATAATGGTAGAGATCTAAGAATTTATTATTTAAAAAGAACATAAAGAAAGACCTTGTAATGTGATAATGTCTATTCTGACTCCACAAACTATCCTTCTCACACAAGCCCTTCCAACATGTTTGTCATTTCTAATTAAAAACCATGGTACAGAGATGTCTATTACGATGTGCTTTCTTCATCAACTGTAACTTAGATTAGTACATTTTAGGTAAAAAAGAAAAAGAAATATTCATATTGGCGAATAAATTTCATCTTTGTTTATTTAGTTGTTTTCATATGTAAAATTCAAAAGCATGCAGGTCAGGTGGGAAACAGGTAAGAGGGACATAATATATATTAACACATATAACACTATCTTTTGAATAACCTAAGTATACAAATATATCTTGGGTGCTTAAAAATTTTAGAATCTTCAATTTCATGGGAAAAAAAAATTTCTCAATGATTATCAATGGCAAAAAAGAAGTGCATCTCAATTTTGATTGTGTCAAAAGAAATGTAAGATCTTGCAATTTTTATGATTATACGATTATCTAAAAAGGAAAATGAGTTTTTTTTTTTAAATACATAGATTAATCTTTCATGCTATGCAATATACAAAAAATTAAATAAAAACGTTGTAAACTGACTAATCATTATATTAAAACGAAAATTTTGTTGTGCTAGATAACTTTTATCAATATGGGTAAGGTAAAGCAATTCTATATTGATTACTTTAAGAGTGAATTAGGAAGTCTCAGATATTGCACATCTTTTAATCTATAATCAATTTGCTAAACTGGAGTATTTACACAAATTATTCTAGATTTCCACTTATCTATTTTTTCTTTTCCATTATTCTCTCAAGTTGCCATAGGTTAAATTTTGCATTCACCATTAGAGAAAAGTTGCAGGGCAGGGTTTCTTTCCATATTTGTTTAATTTGATTAGAGTTGAACTATTATTGAAATCACTCGATCAGTTTATGCAGACGAAAATTTCAAAATTCACACTTTTGTAGTGTATTCAAAGTTATATGCAAGCATACCACATGCCTAGATTGCTAAAGCAAACAATAAAGAGGCTGTCCACAGTGAAAGCTTAGTGGTCACCAAAATGCTAGGAGTGTTATAGTACTATTGTCTGTAAGCAATTTTTTCAGCGCAATGCTGAACAATTACTTGAAACAATGATTAGTAATGCTAGCATCTTTTAAGTCACTTGAACAAAGAATGAATTTATTTCTTCAACTAGACAAATACAACTGTCCACAAGGCTATTTTGCTTCTTCATCCTCCACTATCACAGGACTACTCTATGGAGTTAACTTTTGGTTTATGTTTGGTTTTGCTGAAAACGTTATTAAAAATCTAAGTCAAAGTCAAAAAATTAATTTTAACCGCTCCATGAGACCCAAAACTTCTATCAACTTTTCAATTACATGTTTCATTAACTTTTATCAAAATCTACTAAAAATTTGTTTTTTAGCAAAACCAAACAGGGGCTAAAAGGGTATGATATAGTTTTCATATCGATAAGTAATGCAATGGCAAACAACAAATTTTATATATCCTATCATCATAAAATATGAAGGAGAATTCCGGCTTACCATCAATCCCCGAGTGCGTGACCGAGGAAGATCTTGGATATATTTCTCAAAAGCTTCTAATCTTACTTTTCCTTTAACTTCTACACATTCAGACCAGTTGACATCAAGCAATCTTTCACCACTACATGAAGTTTATAATTGACAAGATTAAAAACAGATCTAAACATGAGCTTAAAAAAATAAGATTCTACTGTGTGTGAATGATTTATCATCCTTGAAAAAGAAGAAGATAGACATATTGTTCTAAATTATGTTGTAATAACATTTTACATGACTTCACAAATTCAGGTTTCAGGGTCCAGTGCATAAAAGCATCAACTTTTAAAAAGGGAAAATAAAATTATAGAAAAAATGTTTACCAAACCAGAAATATGAAATGCCAAAAACTTAGTGAATTGTTATTTTAGCATAAAACAAAGAAATTTTTTTTCTGTAAATGTAAAGACATACTAATCCAAAACTAGACAAAAACAGAGATAAAAAATCATCCCTATACCGTGCNNNATAAAAAATCATCCCTATACCGTGCTAGAAAAGAACAAGACAGGATATACAGCAACCGAGATAGTTCCTAGTACATTTGTTAAAAAAACCATTTGAGAGTTAGGCCCCAAATCCAGCCTCCTCAAGTGAGGCTTTCACAAACCACCACGAACCCCTCTCCTGAAGTTCAATTTATGAGGCTTCCATCTCAACTTAGTGAGGCTTAAGACTCAAGGCGACTAAGGTGTTCACCTATTTGTATTGCATTTTCTGAACATTTTAGTACTGGCCTTAGCTTTTTGCCTTAGCTTTTTGCTTTGTTTCTCTAGAAACTCGAATGTTTTACAGGTTCTTTTATTTTACTTTACTACTCACACAGAAAAGAAAGAGAGGAGAATACAACATATATGGAGGATGATGACAGGATGGGAAGAAACTGATAGCGATGAAGATGACGATGTTGATGATATCCTTAAAGGTGCTATTGATAGTGATGATATGAAAGACTTCTAAGTTATTTCTACGTCTAATAGTAAATTATAAGTTTATTACGTGATTACTAGTCTAAGAACTTATTATTTGCTACTTTATTTATGTTCGTTTGCAAGTTAGACATTTACTTTTGTTCATTTTTATTTTTTTTATTTCGGATTTTTAAAGACAGTTTATAGTTCATTATGGTTTTTTTTTGTATTTTTATATTCTTTTAAATTATTTTATTGGTTTGTGTAATTTAGTATCGAGAGGAAGGGAAAGGTAATTTCACTTATCTCATTTATGGAATCCTTGTGTGTATATATACAAGAGACTAATACTATTTTATGGTAGATCCCTAACATAAGAACCTATAAATTAGGGCACAATGTATCTACTTTCCTATTATAGAAATAATCTCTAACACTACCCCTCAAGTTGGAGCATAGATGTTTATCATGTCCAGCTTGTTACAAAGGTAATTCACCTGAACCCCAGTTAGACTTTTGTGAAGATATCTCCTAATTGTTTTCCTGTTTTCACATATCCTGTGGAAACCAAACCTTGCTGAATTTTCTCACGAATGAAATGACAATCAATTTCAATGTATTTCGTTCGTTCATGAAAGATTGGATTAGATGCAATATGAAGTGCAGCTTGATTATCACACCACAACTTAGATGACATTGAAGTCTTGAGGCCCGCTTCAGTGAGGAGCTGATGTATCAACATTATCTCACACACGGACTTAGCTATAGCCCTATATTCGGATTCTGCACTTGAACGTGAAACCACACTTTGCTTCTTGCTTTTCCATGAAACCAAATTTCCTCCAACAACTACACAATAGCCGGATGTAAATCTTCAATCTTCCTTAGATCCTACCCAGTCAGCATCTGAAAAACATTCAATCCTAGTATGACCATGATTGCCATACAGAATTCCTTTCCCAGGTGCTCCTTTTAAGTAACATAAAATTTGTTCAACTCTCCAATGATCGACAGTTGGGGAAGCATATGCTGACTTACCACACTAACTGAATAGGCAATATCTAGACGAGTCCCCGTAAGATAGTTCAGCTTCCCAACCAATTTTCTATATCTCAGGATCTTC